CAGAAAAAAATGGAAAGTCGTGGAGGGATTTTAAATAGGGGAGTGACACCATTGGGTTTACATTTGAGAGATCACTGGCAGCTGTATGGAGGGTGGATTGAAAGAGGGAAAGAACAGAGGCGGTTAGGGATTACAGTGGGAGCCTGAATGAGAAATAATGAAGGCCTGAACCAAGGCAGAGGCAAGGAATAGGGTATGCTGGTCAGATTGTGGGGTGGAAGGTACAGGACCCTGCTACTGGATATGGAAGATGGAGCAGAGGGCAGAGCCACTGGACTTTGGTTTCTAAGTGAATGATGGTCCCATTCAAACTTGTCCAAAACTGAGCTCCTGATTTCCCCTGCTTGTCTCCATCTTCCTCACATCAAGTCAATGGCAATCCTATCTTTACAGTTGCCCCTGGCAAACGACTCCGGAGTTGTTTACTTCTTTTTCTTTTACCGGGCACATCTGAATCATTAGCAAATCCTGTTGCTACCTTGAAAACACATACGGAATCTGATTCTTTCCCAACACCTTTACTGCTAACACCCAAGCCACTATCACCTCAAGCCTCCTAACTGGTCCTCCTGAAGTCTATTCTCTTTACAACTGTCAGTGACTTTTTTTTTTTTTTTTTTTGCGGTACGCAGGCCCCCCACCACTGTGGCCTCTCCCGTCGCGGAGCACAGGCTCCAGACGCACAGGCTCAGTGGCCATGGCTCACGGGCCCAGCCGCTCCGCGGCACGTGGGATCCTCCCGGACCGGGGCACGAACCCGTGTCCCCTGCATCGGCAGGCGGACTCTCAACCACTGCGCCACCAGGGAAGCCCAGAGTGACTTTTTAAAAGTGTTCAGATCATGAACTCTGCTCAAAACTCTCCAAAAGCCTCTATTTTACTTGTAATAAAACCCAAAGTCCTGTCGACTGGAAAAAAATGCACAACCTGAAAGTTGAGAGTTATGTTTTATTCAGCGGACAAAACTGAGGACTTGGGCTTCCCTGGTGGCACAGTGGTTGGGAGTCCGCCTGCTGTTTCTATCCTGAGTTCCCTCATGGCTCAACATCAGGGTGGCTGTAATGTGATGGCTTGATGGCTGCAACATCCTTTATTTCCGGATGTGGCAAGCAATAAATTTCATTCACAGTCCTCACCACGGCTTTAAAGTTCTGCCTGAGCTGAGTCTGTTACCTGTCTGGTCACCTCTCCTTCTGGCTCTGCTGGCTCCAGCCACTCTGTTGCTTTGAATGTGCAAAGCATGCTTCTGCCTCAGGTCCTTTGCCCCTGTTCCCTCTGCCTGGGTTGCTTTCCCTCCAGGTACCTGCACGACTTGTTCTTTCCTCACTTTATTTGGGTCTCTTCTCAAATGTCCTCTCATCAGAGGGCTTTCCTAGCCACAAGCTATTAAATAGCATTCCTGTTCCCTATAGGTCACTCTCTTCCCATTCTCTCTGGCATTCCCTGACAAAGTACACATTTATTTAAAGAGGGTAAGGACACTGTCCATTTTGTTCACTGCTACAGCCCTAAGTGCCTACCATAGTGCTTGCATTATGGTAGGTGCTCAGTAAATACTTTTTGAATGAATGAATAAACACAAGAGGAGAAGGGAAGAAAAACAAGAGTTCAGTCCTGGGCTTCCCTGGTGGCGCAGTGGTTGAGAGTCTGCCTGCTGATGCAGGGGACGTGGGTTCGTGCCCCGGTCTAGGAGGATCCCACATGCCATGGAGCGGCTGGGCCCGTGAGCCATGGCCGCTGAGCCTGCGCGTCCGGAGCCTGTGCTCCGCAACGGAAGAGGCCACAACAGTGAGAGGCCCGCGTACCGCAAAAAAAAAAAAAAAAAAAGAGCTCAGTCCTGAATATGCTGGGATTGAAGTATCCATGGGACATCCAGGTAGAGCCATGTATAAGTTTATTAATAGATCTTGAAAAGAATTTTAAATAGTAATAATGGTGATATTATTAAACAAGTAACAAAAACACCTGCATTCCAAGCACAGTGCTGAGCATATTACACTTAAGTCACTTCATCCTCACAATAGCTTGGCCAAATGTAATGGAGCAGGACCCTATGGGGCCTTCCCGGGGGCAGACCCCTCCCTCATATCCTCTGCTTTAGCTCCTCCCTCAAGTACCTAGATAACAGTATCTGATGCACATTTCCTGAATTGTCTTATAGATGCTAAATCCACCACCAAAGGGAAGAAATGAACTACCTGATGAATATGAGCACATAGCCCCCAGAGCCTAAGGATTAATAATGTTAACCCCTGTGACACCACCCTGTTACCTCACCATCAACCAATCAGAGAATTGTGCATGAGCTGATCACATACCCTGGGATGCCCCTCCCTCACTCTGCCTTTAAAAATGCTTTGCTGAGGGGGCTTCCCTGGTGGCGCAGTGGTTGAGAGTCCACCTGCCGATGCAGGGGACACGGGTTCGTGCCCCGGTCCGAGAGGATCCCACGTGCCGCGGAGCGGCTGGGCCCGTGAGCCATGGCCACTGAGCCTGCGCGTCCCGAGCCTGTGCTCCACAACGGGAGAGGCCACGGCAGTGAGAGGCCCGCATACCGCTAAAAAAAAAAAGAAAAGAAAAAAAAATGCTTTACTGAAACCCATTGGGGACTTTGGGTGTTTTGAGCACTAGCTGTCCTGGACTCCTTGCTTGGTGCCCTGCAATAAACGCTGCACTTTCCTTCACCACAACCCAGCGACAGTAGATTGGCTTCACTGCACGTGGGCAAGCAGTAAGACCCGAGTTTGGTTTGGTAACAAGAAGAGGAATTCAAATTACCTCCAAAGAGGAAAAACATTCTTGGGGGGTTCAGAATTGGAAAACTTTCGATTATCTGTGTGTACTAGAAAGAGAAACTGTGATGCAGGCAAGGACTGCCCATGAGTCTTTATTCCTGTTAATTTTTTATCTTTGTGTCCTTCTCACCTTCATGTACTTGTTGAAGACAGTCTGGATCTCCTCATTGATGCTAGGCTGCAGGACAGCTCGGAGAAGATCCATGGAGATGGCAGGATCTGTGAAACTGCATTCAGGAAGGAGACACAGTCAGGAGGCATGTCCCAAACATATCCTTTCCTACTCTGCCCAGCCAATTATTGAGATAGGACCCTTTAATGACAATAACATATGGCTTTTACAGAAAACTAGCCACATGCCCAGGTGCTCTGCAAACCACATAGATGCAGGACTTTATTTCATACTCATAACTCTATGGAATGGCATTATTTTTAAAGTGTTTTAGAAGTATAATACTTAACACAGAAAAAGTCTATACACTTTAACAAACAGTTTTAGTGAACATCCTTTTAATCACTACTCAGGTCAAGAAACATATATAACCAGCATCCCAAAGACCCATCTTGTGCTCTCTCCCTTCCCTGAGATGGATACTATTAGCCCCACATTTTTTTAACTTCCATGCTATTCTGCCTCTTTGGAGCCTTCAAACACAGAGCCTGTGAATGTTAGGGACCTTGGGCACTGTTGAATCAACATGTCCCCTCTTTTGAGTTCAGAAGGGAAATGACTTGCTCAAGGTCACACAGAGTTACAGAATCTGAATCTCCTCTTTCTATCGGCCGACGATCTCTTTCTCAGCTCTGTGCAGTGGGGACCTAAAAGCTGCCTCTCAAGCCAGTGCCTGGAAGGGGAAGTCCCACCCAAGGCCAGCCTTACCTTGTTGTCATCTGTGAGCGGCGGCCCCTCCGCTGTACCTGCCGGTGCTTTATCATTATGTTCCAAGGGTTCTGTGGAGACCAAGGGAGCAGATGTCACCGAGGTCCGTGACGCTGGGGTGGAGGTGGAGGGTGGGTATTAAGTTATACCTAGACATCCCTGCTTCTCAGGTGCTTTCACCGTCTCTCCCCGCTTGGGGTAGGGGGGAGGGCAGTGGTTGGAAGGTCCTGCCAGGGAAGAGGAACCGAGATAAAGCTTCCTGCCCGCAAGTCCCAACCCCACTTTTTCAGGAACGGGTGGAGGAAAGGAGTCAGTGTCCACCGAGGGCCTACTCTGTGCCAGATGATGCGCTGGGCGCTTTACCCGCATTTATATCCTTTCCCACAACAACTTTACGAGGCAGGGACTAATCGTCTCCATTTTCGAGAAGAGAAAACTGGCGCTCAGGGGCTTGACAGGGCCGGCCCACGTCACCTAGCTGCGGGGGCGGCACCAGAATATGAAGCCGGGTCGTCGGACTTCGACAACCACAACCCCTCGGCAGCACCAGCCGCCGGGTCCCCGCGGGCCCTGTCGGGCCCGAGCCCAGGCCTGGCCGGGGCTTCCCCGGGGGCGCCCTCACCGTGAGAACCAGCTGCCCCGCTGCGCCCGCGTCTCCCAGCTCGGGGCCGCCCCGCTCTGCCCCGCCGGGTCCCCGCGGCTGCTCGGCGTCTCCAGTGGCTCCCATGGCGCCCCCGACCCGCACAAGTTCAGCCCGACTCTGCCACCGGCCGGAAAGCCTCCCCGTGACGTCATTGGAGCGCGCCTCCCGCAGGCTCCGGAAGCGCGACGCAGCGAGCGCCAGGGTTACCGGGGGAACCGAGCCGCCGCGTCTCGCCGGGTCCCAGACGCTTAGAGGCCCTGTGTGTTGGTTGACCAGACTCCCTCTCGGGAGCGGCCGCGCCTCGGGTGTAAACTGTGGGTGTTCAGTCAAGGATCTTTCTCTGGCCGGACCAAGGCCCGTGAAGAAGTGCGGGTCAGGAGGAAGGGAGCAGGTTTCCTCGGGCTGGTGTTGGGGAGCGGAGGGGAGCGTTTGGTACCGAGGCGTCTGCAGTTGTCTCTGGAAAACTAGATTTTAATATGCCTGGCACTCAGCCCCCGGAATTGGATGGGCCCAATGCGAGGACCCCGAAACCCAATAAGAGGGGGTCTGGCCCATGCCATCCCGCTCACCCAGTGGTCTCTCCAGGCCTTGACCCCAGGGATTGCCTCTTGGCGTCTGAAGGCATCTGAATGAAGATTCTGGGCATCTCTCTCCAGATGCGTGATACTGGGATGGGCTGGGGATGCAGGGATTTAACAGCTGTGGAGTTCCCCAGAGCCCCTTTAGCTCTGCATTAGAGGTAAGACGTCCATGAATAGAATTGGATCTACTTATGGGTGGTAGATAAAGTTACTTTTATCAGGTCATAATACGGGGTAGTCGAAGGTGCATGAGTTTTGCAGATAGAAAGATCTGAGTTCAAATCCATTATGATATGGTGGTTAACACTGACTATGGGATTGGACTGCTTACCTTTGTTCTACTACTTATTAGCTGTGACCCACATTTCTTTCTGTGCCTCAGTTTCCCTATCTGTAGAATGGGGATAATAGTACCTAACTCATAGGATTGCAATGAGAATTAAGTGAGTTAATTCATGTAAAGTACTTAGAACCTTGGCAGTAGTAAACCCTCAAACAATGTTATCTGTCATTACTATTATTAAATTCCAGCAGCCACCACTTACTAGCTTAATGACCTTGGCTAATTTTCCCTCTGAACTAGTTTTCTTACTTCTGCAAGATTATTGTGAGGCATAAAATAAATAATGTGTATAAAACATGTTAGGTTATCAATAAATGTTAATTATCTCCACACTCCAATATCAGCCTTAAAACAATAAGGCAACTTTCTGGCACCAAACTCTTTGTCCCTATTAAGGAGGTTTTTACCCTTTAACATTATTAGGCTAAGCAATGCCAATAGGTATTGCTGTTAGGTATCATGGTTGACCAAAGGAATAGATAAAGAAAAATAAAAAGAAATATAGGAAGAAGAGATAAAGAAAGGGAGTATATATGACCTAGGTTACTACTTGAGTCATAGCAACTGTTCTTTTGGGTTTTGTCGACTAACCTTCATATAGTCCAAGAATGCCCTGTATGGGCTAGAGGGACCAAGATGTAGGTTTTTGGTGCATTTATATTAGTTCTGAACAAATCTAAGAACTGCTTTTCTGTAGTTTTTGGATAGTTTCTAAGCAGTCTGTTCCATTCTCTGTTTTCTAGGTTGCTAGGATGGACAGGAGCCACAGTGCATTTTATTAGCTTTGGTTCTTTTCTTTAGTTGTGTCTCTAGTCCTTTCCTCTGTCATTACAGCTGTAGCTGTGTCCTTCCAAAACCCTCTAGGGCTCTCTTTGATCCTTTATCCAGTGGCCATCCCTCCATTTCCTCAGCTGCCCATTAGATTCCTCATCATTGTTCAGGGATGTTGTGTATTTTGCAGAGTTTGATCATTCCCATCACGTGTGTCTTTTGGTAGTGCCAGGAATTTTCCCACACACCAGCAACCAGTCACTTTTCTTCTGGTCAGGAGAAGACATCGTTGGGGATTATTGCGAAAGGGAAAACTCTGTGGCTGGCCTTAGACCAATCCCCTAGTCTTACCCTTCCCTCGGCTGATGTATTGATACAAGGCAAGGTGTACACGTCTGGCCTGAACTGAGTTCTCATCTCTACCCTCAGCATCATCATCATGTCGAGCTGCCTCTTCCTCCTGAAGGCACTTCTTGCTCTTGGGTCCGTGGCATCCTGGGTGACTGCAGGAGAGCATGGTGAGCTATCATTTGGGATCCCTGGCTAACAGCAATAGAAAACGACTAGAGAAGTCATCCCCTGCCTCCTCCCAGAGTGAGGGTCCTCATTTGGGGAGATGGTCTTCTCTGTAGAACAGAACTGGACGCATAGATGCTTCAGACAGCCAGGATAGGTCTTCCTGGCTTTCTCTGTCCTCTCTGGACAAGGAGATAGCACTCTCAGTCTGGCTTACTAGAGGTTCTAGCTTTGCCCGAGGGCTCTCACCCTAGGGTGAGAATAGGATCGCCCCAAGCTTTCTGTCTCTCTCTCTGCAGAGTGGCTGGTCCATGTGTGGTGCTGGGTGCATGTTAGCGGCTGTGTGGGAGAAGGGGAAAGTGGTTGCAGAAATATTTTATTTTAAATTTATTTATTTAATTAATTTATTTTTGGCTGCGTTGGATCCTCGTTGCTGCGCGTGGGCTTTCTCTAGTTGCGGCGAGCAGGGTCTACTCTTCGTTGCGGTGCGCGGGCTTCTCATTGCAGGGCTTCTCTTGTTGCGGGGCACGGGCTCTAGGCTCGCAGGCTCAGTAGTTGTGGCTTGCGGGCTCTAGAGCGCAGGCTCAGTAGTTGTGGCACATGGGCTTAGTTGCTCTGCGGCATGTGGGATCTTCCTGGACCAGGGCTCGAACCCGTGTCCCCTGCATTGGCAGGTGGATTCTTAACCACTGTGCAACCAGGAAAGCCCCAGAAATATTTTTGACAGGAATTTTGGAGAGACTTAAAAGTCCCTGAAGTAAATTTGGCTTCCATTCCCTGTTTCTTGAGGCCTCGCCAGTTACCCCAATCTCAAGTGATAACTTTTGCAGTGAAAGAGGGAAAATGCCCTCGCGATAAGAACCCATGCAAAGAGCCATACCAGGAGGATGAATCCTGTCTGGCTAGGCAGAAGCACTGCAGCGCAGGCTGTGGTCGGCTCTGTCGAGGAGGCATCCCTAAGGGTATGTTGGCTTGAGAGGCGAAATCCAAGTCTCCTTTCCGATCTTGCCTCTGGGCTAGATAGACCCAGAGAGCTTCCTATCTCCTAGGTTGGCTCTTGAAATTTAGCTCACCTCTTTTTTCTCCTTTTGGGGGGTCTCCTCTCCTTTAATCACTCGTGTCCCCAGTTCTTTGCCTTCTGTCAGGAGAGAACAGGCCATTGATTATCTGCATCTTTTACTTTGAACTCAGGGCTGCTGTTAAGGCTGGCCTCCTTCCAGCCAAACCTCCCTAGGTAGCAGGCCCCTTCCCTGTACCCAGTGGCGTTGCCTGCGCCTGGCTTCAGCAGCTCCCCGGGCAGCTGCCCGTAAAGGGAGAATAGAGCGTTGTGCTCTTTGCCAGGACTCTGGAGGGCCAGCTCTGGAGCCAGAGCCTGGGAATCTGTCTCACGCGGCTCACTCACTGTCAACTTGTCAGGCCTGGTCCAATCTTCGCAGTGTTTGAAAGTGATGGCTGAATTGCGGGGGCTGAGGGTGAGGCTGGCAGCCAGGCAAGGCAGCCTGGTGAGCTGCCCTGGGCCCTGGCCAGCCCAGATGGGGCTTTCTCTTTCCTTGGAGCTTGGCAGGTTAGAGTAGTGATCTCTCTGCACCTCTCCCAGAGCCCACTGGCTGAGTGGGGTTCCTCGTCTGGTGGGAAGTAATATTTCTGCTGGGATATTAGCTAACTACTTTTCTACAGTTCCAGTCCTGGAGGAGGGCTGGCCCACTCACCCAGCGGAACTCGTTGCTACAGCCCACTACACAGGAAATTCCCCTTCCTGGGCTATGAATAATCTCTGCTTTCATTAAGCTCTGATTTGCCAGAAGCTTACCATAGCCTGTCCTGTCTGTTTGGTAACTTGGAGGAATGTCAGGGTGTCTGAGGGCACAGGGCAGACCCTGGGACCTGCTCCCCTGAGGCAGTTCGGGTCTGAGCATGGGTCTGAACCGGGCTCCTCTGCTTGCTGGCTCTGTGGCCTTGGACAAGTCCTTTCATCTCTTTGAACCTCATTTTTATCATCCTTAAAATGGAGATAAGGGTATTTATCTCATAGAGTGATAATGCAGTATCCATTTGGGCTGCTATAACAGAATACCATAGACTGGGTGGCTTATAAACAACAGAAATTTATTTCTTACAATTCTGGAGGCTGGGAAGTCCAAGATCAAGGTCTAGCAGGTTCAGTGTCTGGGAGGGCCTGCTTCCTGGTTTGTAGACTGCCGTCTTTTTGCTGTGACCTCATGTGGCAGAAGGGCAGTAAGGGCCACTAGTATTCATGAGGGCTCCAGTCTCCTGACTTAATCACCTCCCAAAGACCCCAATTCCAAATACCCTCACTTTGGAGATTAGGTTTCAACATATAAATTTTTGGAGAATACAAATATTCAGTCTACAGCATGCAGTTGAGAAGAACTGCACATAAGAAACTTGTACAAAACCTGCCAAATAATGCCTGACAGCTCATATTGTTATGCCCAGCACCTCGCTGTTCAGGTTCCCTCCCAACTATCTGAGGTCTGGCCTGTCTATTCACTTGCTCACTTATAAATGGATTCAATACGTATTGAGTGTCTAACCTACCTGGCATTTGGGCATCCTGGGGTGAGCATGGTAGCCACGGCCCTTGCTCTCATGGAGCTCACCCTCTGATGTGAGACACAGTAAATAATCATAAACGAGCAATAATAACCATCAGTCGTGATGAGTGCAATGAAGGAAGAGAAAAGAGAGCGAAAGAGGAGGTGTCATTTTAAGTTGGAGAATGAGAAGGAGCTGGCCATTGAGTGGAGCACTATGAAGAGGGAACTGCAGGGGCAAAAGCAGTAGAGTAGGGCAGCGCTTACTATTTTAAGGAGGTGAAAGGTCAGTGTGGCTGGAGAAAAGAGATGGAGAAGGAAGGTGGTTCCAGTTGAGGCAGAGTCCAGGCTTTGGGGGAGTCTCTGGGGCCTCTGTCTAAGGCTTTATTGTAAGTGCAATGGGAGGCCTTTAAAGGGGGCTATAAAAGCAGGAGAGGCCTGATCCAGTTTTCATTTTAAAAAGGCTACTCTGCTGGTGTCTGAAGAATGGATGGGGTGAATGTGGAAGATGGCAGGCCAGTTGAGAGGCCAATAGGCCAGGCTGGGTTGGGGGTGATCATGGCTCAGACCAGGGTGGTGACAGTGCAGACCTGGAAGAGTGGTAGACTTGAAGCACTTTTTTTTTTTTTTTTCTTTTTTTTGCGGTACGCGGGCCTCTCACTGTTGTGACCTCTCCCGTTGCGGAGCACAGGCTCCGGATGCACAGGCTCAGCGGCCATGGCTCACGGGCCCAGCTGCTCCGCGGTATGTGGGATCTTCCCGGACCGGGGCACGAACCCGTGTCCCCTGCATTGGCAGGTGGACGCTCAACCATTGCGCCACCAGGGAGGCCCTTGAAGCACTTTTGAGGGTGAAGCTGACAGGCCTGGGGAAAGAAGTTAGCAGATGTGGGTGTTGAGGAAAAGGAAGTGTCAGAAAGGGTGGTGAGTGTCTGGCTGGAGCTGTTGGGTGATGGTGGTGGTCTTTACTGAGAAGGGGACAACTTTGGGAGGAGGAGGAGGAGGTTTTGGAGTGAAGATTCAGATTATGGCCTAAGAGTTGTCCCCTCTGGCTCCCTCATGGCCCCCCTCCCACTGCATGAAAGTTGAACCCTCCTGATCCCCCATGACCCTCTGTTTTGCTTATTATGACATGTGCATTATTATTATTTTTTTAAAAACATTTATTTATTTCGTTGTGTTGGGTCTTAGTTGTGGCAGGTGGGCTCCTTAGTCGCGGCTTGCCGGATCCTTAGTTGTGGCATGCAAACTCTTAGTTGCGGCATGCATGTGGGATCTAGTTCTCAGACCAGGGATCGAACCGGGGGCCCCTGCACTGGGAGTGTGGAGTCTTTTTAAATAAATTTATTTATTATTTATTTATTTATTTTTGACTGCATTGGGTCTTCGTTGCTGCGTGCGGGCTTTCTCTAGTTGTGGCGAGCGGGGGCTACTCTTCCTTGCGGTGCACGGGCTTCTCATTGCAGTGGCTTCTCTTGTTGCGGAGCGCAGGCTGTAGGTGCGCGGGCTTCAGTACTTGTGGCACGTGGGCTCAGTAGTTGTGGCTTGCGGGCTCTAGCGTGCAGGCTCAGTAGTTGTGGCGCATGGGCTTAGTTGCTCCGCGGCATGTGGGATCTTCCTGGACCAGGGCTCAAACTCACATCCCCTTCATTGGCAGGCAGATTCTTAACCACTGAGCTACCAGGGAAGCCCTGGAGCGCAGAGTCATAACCACTGCGCCACCAGGGAAGTCCCATGACATGTACATTGTATCCTTCGTATGCATCGATGGCATGGGCTCCCTGTGTGTTTGGGTCCCCTTTTTCTGAAACCTCACTGCTGGTTGTACAGCTAAGAGTTGACACAGCAGGCCCAAGACTGATATTCTCAGAAAGGCCTGCTCACAAGATTGGCCTTGGTGGGCTTCTGGGAATTTGGATTTTGAGACGGTTCCTGCCCGTAACTAATAAGAGTGGTATGAGCTAGGCAGAGAGCACCCATGTGATCAGACCCCAGGAAGAACCCTAAGTCTCCAGTGAGCTTCCCTGGTAGATACCACTTCACATGTATTGTCACAATTCCATACTGGAGGAATGAAGTTATCCTGTGTGACCCCCTGGGAGAGGACTCTTGGAAGCTTGAGCCTGGCTTCCTCTGGACTTCACGTCGTGCACCTTTTCCCTTTGATGATTTTGCTTTGTATTTTTGTGCTGTCGTAAATCATGGCCATGGGTACAACTGTATGCCGAGTCCTGTGAGTCCTAGAGAATCACCAAAACTAGGAGTGGTCTTGGGGGTTCCAGACACACTAGTTTATTTATAAGTTTTCCTAACCCTTAAAATTGTCTACCACTGGGTCTTTTGGCAGAACTGAGCCGAGTCCCAGTGCTTGGTGATTTGGTTTTGGGTGATCGTTGCGGAGTGCAGGGGATCACCATGATGTGGATTAAAGGGCAGTGGACCTAGTGTCAGAGCTGGGGGTTTGGGACCCAATTCTGCGACCATTGACCTCAGGCCAATCCTTCCCCCTTCTGGGTGTCTGTCTATTTACAAGAGAAGAGGAGTAGGTTTGAAGGCTCAGAGGGCCCTTCTTGGCTTAAGAAGTTTTGAAACTTATTTTCTGCCAGCAGCTGGTATTCTTCCCTAGTGGAAGGTTGGAGCTGGGGCAACGGTAAAGACTAAGTGTGAGTATTTCCTAGGCTTCAGCTTTTTATTTTACTTTTCTGGTGATAGCTTGGGATCTTGGGATAGGGGCATATCTGGAGGCTAGGGATGACCATCCCCTTTCTGGCTATCATTCCTATTTCTCATCCTGATTCCTGCTAAGATACCTGTGAGGTGACTGGAAACCATGTGTTATGAGGAACTGAGCTTACCTAGCCTGGCAAAGCTAAGACAGTGAAAGGCAGAGGATGGCTAAAGAGATGGCATGAGCCATGTTTTTGCCAGGTCTCTGGGGATAGGAAAAGGACCAATGGATAGAAACAGATTTCGGTTGAGTATAAAGAAGGACTTCCTTATACCTAAGGCTGTCTAGCTTAAGTATAAGGATGGCGTAGTCTGGCTTGGAGGTATTGAAGCCCCCTTAATTCTCGCTATTCAAGCTGAGAGTAGGGGATTGTTCGGCAGGGATTCAAGCATCAGATAGGGTATTAGACTGGGTGGCTCTGCTGGGCATTGGTCCGAGGGGATGTGCTGTGACCCTCAGGGCTTCAGCCTATCTTCCAAGGGTCCCTTCATTGCTTCTAATATTTGACAAAACCCCAGGGACCTCAAGGAAGCCTGGCCTGGGAGAGGGTAGGGCTTTGGTCTCTATGCCTGGTCCTGAGGATGAGGGCAGAGGTAGCAGGGTGCTCCTGGCACTGGTTACTTCAGAGTTGGGCCCGGAAAAATGGTGATATCTGGAAAGTGTGGTATTCTAGGCCTCCACTCTAGGGCACACGGTATGACTTGGTGAGTTTATGTTGCTGTGTCTTTCCCTAACAGGGAGATTTTTTTTATTCCCCGCCTTCT